AAAGAAACAAGAAGAGAGACAACAGCAGTGGCAAGAAAACCTGCAACAGTGGTATCTCGAACAGCAAAATAAACAAGAGGTACTACAACAGTGATTGGAGGAGAAAGAAAATGAACAAGAAGAAAGTCTCCAACAGTTGAGAGAAAGCCAGCACACACACACAAATGGAAAAGATTAGTAAACTTCAAAGTGAAGCAAATACATTAAAGGGTGATTTACTGTCTTTTACAAAAGGAGGATATATTAGCCATCGACCTAATCAGCCCCAGAAAACGGGAAGCGATAGGACAGCAGTGAGTCTACGGACTTACAATGCTGAAATCTGTGGTTCTGTTCCCCTCGGGGGACTTAGCAGATAGCCCACTATGGCTTTGTTCTAAAAACAGACAAAATAAGTAAACACCAAATACCGGGAAGCCCCTTCCTAATGTAGACATCTTCAGTCCTGTCAGAAGTCACATCCCAGACCTGAGTGTCAGCAATAGGGGTAATCTAGTATGAAGGAAGCCACAGGAATTTGATGGGAAGGCACCATGGGAAGCATATAGAGCACAATTTGAGCTACTGGCAGAAATGAATGGATGGACAGAGGAGCAGAAAGCAGTATATCTGGCAACGAGCTTGAAGGGACAACCACTGGAAATACTTGGACAGTTGTCAGCAGACGACAGGCACAACTATAGAGCACTGGAAGCGGCTCTAGAACTCAGGTATGGAGCTCAAAATCAGTCCAAAGTCTACAGGGCTAGGTTTAGGATGAGAGTCCATGCTAAAGGGGAGAGCCTGCGAGAGCTGGCACAGGACTTGGAAAGCATGGCACACAAGGCCTACCCAACTGTACCACCCGACCTCCTCAAGTTGTTGCTGAGAGATAAGTTTGTAGACGCCTTGGACAGCTCACAACTGAAAACACAAGTGAAGCAATCACACACCTCTACTATGCAGGATGCAATGGCCAGAGCTCTTGGATTTGAATCCTACGTTAATTCCATCACAGAGGTACCAAGGTTGGTACAGTCATCAGGATTCAAGGCCAGAAAACGGCAGCTTTCAGAGAAGTTTGAGGGACTTTGCTGGCACTGTAATAAACCTGGGCACAAGAGAGCTCATTGCTGGCAACTTCAACACAGGGGAGATGCCACAGCTGGAAAGGCTGCTACCCAGATAGGCTGTTGGAACTGTGGAGAACAAGGACATATGAGGAGCCAGTGTAAGAAGAATACCACCAATAAGTCAGCTTTGGGAAACCAGTAGTGGTTGGTGATGAGGGACCCCCATCAACCACCATCGTGAAAGTCCCAACAGCTAAGTGTAAAATGGCAAGCACACATGGTGTCTACGTGACAGGAAAGCTGTATGGCCAAAGGTGCAACTTTGTCATAGATTCTGCATCTCAGCAAACCCTTGTGAGCATCAAGGTGCTTGATCACAAAGGAGTACCAGAAGCTGTACAGAAGCTCTGTGGTGTGACAGGACATTCTGCAAGGTTGGGGGGACCAG